TTTTTTTTATTTTATGTCTATGAACAAAATATAAATAATTCAATTGTGGAGGGCCCCCTGCTGGTCAGGGCCCCAAGAATCGTCATCACTTTTCACTCTTTACCGCGCCCCTGCCAGGAGGAGAACCTCCATCGGAACCTCATGGCCCGTTCTGATTGGCCAGCTGAGGGTTACCTCTTCGTTGTGGACGGTGTAGATGCTCTCCTCCTCCTCGTCCTCCTCCTCCTCCTGCTGAACACGCGATTCCTTCTCTGTCCTCCACTTCTGCACGGCCTCCGACACGGCTGCAAAATGTGCAGTAAAACGCAGCAAAACACGAAACACATGCATCAGATATGTAAGGAGGAAACACAATAGGGCTGGGTCATATGGCTAAAAAAATTTAATACATCTTTTTTATACCAGATCTGATTTTTTTTTTTTAATTCTTGCTTTCTTTAGTAAAAAATAAATAAATGACAGAAAAATTTTAAGTGTTTTTTATTTCAATCGTCCCGTCTGTGAGTTGGATGGTGGCGTATTGGGGCCATAGTACTGGAATTTCTGTTTAATTACAGCATAAAGATGCAATTTTACCAGAAGAATGTCTTAAAATTAAGAGAAAAAAAACATTGCTAGTCATCAGGATCTGACATGAGCAGATCAGTTCATCAGGTTCTGTCTGAAACTGAATCGGTTTCAGACAGAACCTGCTCCAGAAAATAAATTGACAGATTGCACCAAAGTATAACGTTACATGATGGTCAACATTCCTTAATTTAGTTTTTGTAATTTTTCGTGTTACATTATGATTTTATTCTCCTCCCATTACGACTTTCTGTTATTTCATGACTAAATAAAAAGAGGAGCCTGCCTCTAATATTTGCAGTCGACCTGAATTCAAACTCCAAATAAATAGAAGCTGTAAGCCACATTTATCAAACAAGATGGCCGCTCTGGTGATGACATCACTCTGAACTATGGAAATACCAGGAGTACATTGGTCAAAAAATAAACAAATAAATTAAAAAAGAAAATTTGCAATTTTCCAAAATGTAAATCTTCAAAAACCATAGATTGAATTCCCTTCCCCCCTCGACCTTTCACCTTTCCTCTCGTACTCGGCCTCCAGCGGCAGCAGCACGCCGTCATCTTCGTCCCGGTAGCCGTAGTACTCTGCGTCCACGTCCTTCATCAGCTCCCCCCTCGTCTTCCTCTGGGCTGGGGTGGCTGTGGGTCAGACGACCGGTCAGAATCAACTGGTGTTACCAAGGAAACGGAGAGCGGCAGCAGCGGCGGTACATACGGTCGGTCTCGAACAGCTCTCTGACTCCAGGAAGGTCTCTGGCAGCGCCAAAGTATTTATAGCCGCGGTTCCCCGGAACCTCCTTCCCCTCGTGGTCTAACATCCTCGGCCCGATCCGCTGCCACAGAACCAGCAGGAGGTCCGATTCAGAAATCCAGTCAGCAATTAGAAAACAACCAACTAACTTTGCAGTCAAACGTCACCATCAATGTTTCATTTATTATTAATCATCTCTAACCAGGTGGCTTTTAGTGGGG